GAGCTTTGACTTTGTTGTCTTCTTCTGGTTGTATGTTTTGATCTTCTTTGTTACCAAAGAAAAATTCTATGGTCTGACATTTTTTTTTGCACAGTTTGCTCATCATCCCAGTCAATCACTTGAGTTATAAGCTCTTTGTTAAGGTAGCGGTCTGCTTCCAGTGTGAAGAATGTACTGTCCCAAATTTTGGGGATTTTGTTCAGCTGTTTTCAGAGATACTTCTAGGGACCTGTAAATTTTCAGTTTTTCCAAGGTGGTATGATCAGGGTTAAGGTGTTTATTCCTTTCCATGGCCTGTGCTCTGGTCTATGAGTGACCATAAGCACTCTTTTCTGCCTTGGAATTGTGAGGAGGATTCCCTCTTCACTGCCACTACAAGCTCCACCACACCAGTGCTCCTCCTCACCCCAGGACAGCCACCCAGAACTGTGACCCAGATCCAAGCATGGGCAAAGCAAGAGAATCCTGATTCAATAACAGCGAAGAGATCCCTGCAATCCCCCTCTGATCAGTCACTTGATTCTCCCTCAGTCTGTGGACTGAGAGCTCTGGAAGCAGCCCCGACCAAGCTTCTCTCTCACTGAGGTCACAGACTTTTCCTACTGACCTTCTAAGCTCTCCTTGGCATTCTTGGGTTGCAAGGTCTAGAAACCACCACAGCTGCCTGTGATTCAATCCTCTGAGGCCTGTTCCAGGTTTGCTGAGGCCTGTTTTGCCTGTGTGTCCACATTGAACTGTGTTCCTCTCCTAGCCTGGTGCAGTAGACCTTTCCAATTAACCATCTAGGTTGTCTTGGGCTGGAAATTTGTTTCACTCCATCATTTTGTGGGTTCTGCTGCTTTAGAATTTGTTTAGAGCCATTTTTTTAGGCATTTGGGGTTAAGTGACTTGCCCAGGGTCACACAGCTAGTAGGTGTCAAGTGTTTGGTTTGAGGCTGGATTTGAACTTAGGTCCTCCTGACTTCAGGGCAGGTCCTAGTGCCATTTTTTACAGGTATTTAGAGGGGTTTGGGGCAGAGTTCAAGCAAGTCACTGCTTTTACTCTTCCATCTCGTCTCTGTCTCTACCCCTGCTTTTCTTACTTCAGCTGAAGCATAATATATTCTACCACAACCTTTTACCTTTACCCTGTGTGTATCCCTCTCTTTCAAAGGTGTCTCTTGAAAACAACATATTGTAGGATTATGTTTTTTTAATCTATTTTGCTATCCATTTTTGTTTTATGGGAGAGTTTATATCATTCACATTCACAATTATGATTACTATCTGTGTCTTTCTCTCCATCCTATTCCCCTCCCTCTTTTATGCTTTTCTTTCTCCTTTTCTCCCTTTCCCTCCACAGTAGAGTTTTCCTTTTGACCACCACCTCCCTCAATCTGTCCTCCCTTCTATTAGCATCCTCCTTTTTCTTTCTCTTTTCCCTTACTACTTCTTCCCTCCCTACTATCCCCCCTTCCCTTTTCTTTCCCCTCTCCCTTCCTACTGCCTGTATGGCAAGTTGGATTTCTATATCTACCTGAGTAAGTTATTCCCTCCTTGAGTCAAATCTGATGAGAGTAAAGTTCGAACAATGCTCATCTCCCTCCCTCCTTTCCCTCTACTGTAATATATTTTTGTGCCTCTTCCTATGATGTAATTTATCCTTTTCTGTTTCCTCCTGTACTCTTCTCCCGTTACAGTTCCTTCTTACCATTTTATTAGGTTTTTTTTATTATCTCCTCAAAGTCAACTTAAACCCATCCCCTCTGTCTATGTATATTCCTTCTAAATGTTGTAATAAAGATACAGCTCTCGAGAGTTATAAGTATCCTCTTCCCATATAGGGATGTAAACAATTTACTCTTATAGAATAACATGTCTCCCCCCCTTTCCTCTTTACCTTTTTATGTCTCTTTTAAATCTTGTATTTGAAAATCAAATTTTCCATTGAGCTCTGGTCTTTTCATCAGGAAAGTCTGGAAATCCCCTATTTCATTGAAATGTCCATCTTCTCCCCTGAAAGATTATGCTCAATTTTGCTGAGTAGTTGATCCTTGGTTGTAATCCAACCTCCTTCTCTTTATGGAATATCATATTCCAAATCCTCTGATCTTTTAATGTAGAAGTTGCAAGGTCTTGTGTAATCTTGACTGTGGTTCCATGATATTTCAATTTTTTCTTCCTGGCTGCTTCCAGGATTTTCTCCTTGACCTGATTATTCTGGAATTTGGCTATAATATTCCTTGGCATTTTCAATTTGGGATCTCTTTCAGGAGGTGATTGGTGAATTCTTTTGATGACTATTTTACCCTCTAGCTCTAGGGCCTCAGGACAGTGGTTTTTTTTTTTTTGTTTTTTTAATGATCTTCTGAAAGATGCTGTCCAGGCTCTTTTTTTCATCATGGCTTCTAAGTAGACCAATAATTCTGAAGTTATCTTCTCTGGATCTATTTTCCAGGTCAGTTTTTTTTTTCTGATGAACAATTTTACATTTTCTTCTATTTTTTCCATTCTTTTTATTTTGTTTTACTGATTCCTGATGTGTCATAGAGTCATTAACTTGTCATCGTCCAATTCTAATTATTAATGAATTGCTTTCTTCAGTTAACTTTTGTACCTCCTTTTCCATCTGGACCATTTTCCATTTTAGGGAATTGTTTTATTCAGTGTTTTTTTCTTCCATTTTTTAAAATGAATTGTTCACTTTTCCTTCTACCTCCCTTATTTAAATTTTAAAATCCTTCTTGAGTTCTTCAAAGAAAGTTTTTTGGGCTTGAGACCAGTTTATATTCCCCTCTAAGGTTTCAGGTGTGGGTATATTGGCAATGTTATCCTCTCCTGAATTTGTGTTTTGGTCTTTCCTGTCACCAAGATACTTTTCTTTGGTCATTGTTTTTCTGTGTTGCTTCTTGCTCATGTTGTTTGTCTTTTTCTGGCTTTTAAAGTTGTTCTCTGCTTCTAGGGCCCAGGGGGCACTGTCCCGGGCTTCGTGTGCTGGGGACTAGAGACCTGATTACTGGTTTGTTAAGGTGGGACTTGCCACTGGCTTGCTGTGACACCTACCTGCCTGTACTGGTCCCCTTTAGCCACAGCAAGAAGGACCTTTCCTTTTAGTCCACCTAGCCTCTGGAGCTGTATCTAGTCTTTTTGCTGACTCTACTATTTCAGGATTCTTTCTGGTGCAATAGTATCTGTGTTTTTCAAGGTCAATTAGGGAAGGTGAGTGAATTACTTCTTACTCCACCATTTTGGCTCCTGGAGGTCTCAGTAAATGACTTTCAAAATTCAATCTGTGAGCTAATAACTCCAAGGTAGTGCTACCTCTGCCATTACTGCTACTGCTGCTGATTCAGTCACTCCCAAAGCCTGTTCCTATTGGACATCCTGTAGCCTCTCACTGGACTGCATTTCTCTTTCACCCAGTTCCAATCGACCCTCCTGCTGACCTTCTAAGTTGTCTCTGGTGTCTGTGGACTGAGAATACTGAAACCCACCATTGCTGCTGGTGATTCACGCCCCTGAAGCCTGCTCAGGTTTTGTTTAGGACAGGTCTACTACTGTGCCCTGTGCACTGAATGCTTCTCTCTGAGGTCAGTGTAACACACCTTTTCTGTCAGCCTTCCAGGTTGTGGTGGGCTAGAAACCTGCCTCAATCTGTCTCTTTGTGGGTTCTGCTACTCTAGAATTTGTTCAGAGTCACTTTTTAAAAGTACTTGAAGAGATTTGGGGGAAAGCTCAGGCGAGTCCCTACTTTCACTCTGCCATCTTGGCTCTGCCTTGGCAATAAATATCTCTTTTAAAGGCCTCATTTCTCACATATATAGAATACAAAACTGAGTCTAATTTACAAAAATGCAAGCGATTCCTCAATTGATCAAAGGTTAAAGGATACGAATAGGCAGTTTTCAGACAAAGAAATCAAAAATCTCTATAGTCATGAAAAAATGCTCTAAATCACTATTGATTAGAGAAATGCAAATTAAAACAACTCTCACACTTATTAGAGTGGTTAATATGATAAAAAAAGAAAATGTCAGGTGTTGGAGGGAATATAGGAGAACTGGCACACTAATGCGCTATTGGTGGAGTTGTGAACTGATCCAACTATTCTGGAGAGCAATTTGAAACTATGCCTAAAGGGCTATAAAACAGTGCCTGCTTTTTGATCCATCAATGCCACTGCTAGGTCTATGTCTCAAAGACATCCAAGAAAAGGGAAAAGGATCCATTTGTACAAAAATATTTATAGCAGCTCTTTTTTGCGGTGGCTAAGTATTGAAAATCAAAAGGATGCCCATCACTTGGGGAATGGCTAAATAAGCTGTGGTACATGATTGTAATGAAATATTATTGTGCTATAAGAAATGATAAGCAGGATGATTACAGAAAAAAAAACCAACCTGGAAAGACTTACATGAACTGATGTATAGTGAAGTGAACAGAATCAGGAGAACATTGTACACAGAAAAAGCAATATTATATGTTGAAGAACTGTGAATGACTTAGCTATTCTTAGAAATACAATGAACCAAGACATTCCCAAAGGAATAATAATAAAGCATACTATCTACCTCCAGAGAAAAAACTGATATTGATTAAATACAGATTGAAGCATGCTATTTTTCACTTTATTTCTTTTTCTTTCTATGTTTCTTTCTTTGTTTATTGCCTTCTTGTATAAAATTATTAATTTGGAAATTTTTTACATAATTACACATGTATAACCTATATTTGATTGCTTACCATCTCAGGAAGGGTGGAAGGGAGTGAGGGAGTGAGGGAGGGATAGAATTTGGAACTCAAAACTTTAAATAAAAATGTTTTTAAAAAATGAAAAAAATATGAAGAGTGGCAGAAATTGTTATCACCATCATTTTCCCAGGATTTTTTTTCATTTTTAGACTTTTATTTGGAAAACTTCTTATTTCCCCATATGTAAATTGGATTGGCCCCTACTTACCTTAGAGGGTTACTGTGATTACGATTAAAATCTGCAAATAAGAGAAACTGAAGCAAAAGAGTTCTAAGCATGATTACTTTATTAGCAATGGCTAACAATTTGGCCAGCAAAATGGGTCCATGACAAACTTATTTGGTAAAAAGATCTAACTGTGAACTCAGAGCCTTTTTATAGTGTAATTGCAGAACATGTGAAAAGAAAACATAAATAATAGATGATGAACATTGATCACAATGATTCACATGGGTGCTTACATTTTCTGATTAGCTGGAATATTACAAGAGTTTCCATTATCAGTATGGAAATGTACTTTGTGTAAACATCTTTGACAAGAATAGGGAACATTTAAAGGAACAGAGAATCTTAACAGATTAGCAATTCTCAAGGTGTAGGCATTCCTAGCCTCATGTCACTATAATTAATAATGGATTGATTATGATTTATCATCTATAACAAAGATTTTAATATGAATGAGGAACCTAGCTCTTTAGCTGATGAGTTAATATTTCACAGTGTGAAAGTAAAGGGAAATAATGAACATGAAAGTGAGTGATTCAGAGAGGAAACAATCAGCAAGTGTATATTGGGCTCCTTTTCCAGTCAGGCACGGGGCTGGATGCTGTAGATTCAAAGACATAATGAAAACAGTCTCTCTTCACAAGTTTACAATTGATGCAGATCTCTAAGGATCATCTTCATCAACCTGTGGATGCCTCCTGCAACTCACATAAACTCTCTGAACCCTACTCTAAAATCACACCCAGTGTATGAGTCATAAAAGCAGGAGAACAAAAAGGAATGATCTGGCCCCACTGCTAGAGGTAGGGGAGGAGAAGCATTGATCCTCTGTTTATAGCATCACAAGGTTTTAGATTTAAGTTGGAAGAGACCTTAGAAATCTTCCTCCTACTCATTTTAGATGAGGAAACTGAGGCAGGACCTTAAATTTCCCAAGGTTACCCAGCTAGTAATCGGCAGGGCTGGGATTTGAATCCAGGTCCTTGGACTCCAAGTCCAGCAAGGACACTTTGTGCTTTCCTTTCAGTGGCATTAGTGCTAGGAACTTTGAATTAGGTGACAGATATCTCCCTTGCTTCTTTCTCATCTTCTACCCCCTCCTTGACTTCTCTCCTTTTCCCCACCCAAACTCCAAGGTTGGTGAACCCTTGAGGATGAGGATGGTTTGAAGGCCTTCCCCATCCCCTCTTGGAAGACCACCCTACAGGCCTGGCTTGGCCTACATCACTCGAGGAAGGGCGCAGATTTGGTAGGAGGCAGGAGAGACAGTCATGCCATATCGGGAGTCCAGGCTCAGCTTGGTGTTTGGGGGAGCCTGGAATGTGAATTTCTGGAGCAGGCAAGAGAAGAAAAGGAAGAGCTCAGTTCGAGCCAGCTGTTCTCCCAGGCACACCCTCTTTCCTGAAAGGCAAGGAGATCAAAAGCAGTAAATCACTAATGTTCAACATAGGCAGTAGGTCAGGGTAAGTGTTCTTAAGGGCCTGGGTTTCGGTCCTAGAATTGGGATGAGCCTTAAGGGTATTCAATTACTTGTCCACAGCCACAATGCTAATAAGGGTCAGAGTTAGAATCTGAACCCAAGTCTTCCTTGCTCCATGTCAGGCATCATATCTACCATGCCATGCTGCTACCAACCTCAGAGACTTAGTACAGTTGAAATATTGCATCTGTAAAAAGAGGACCTGGGTTCAAATCCCACCTTGGATGCTTCTAACCCAAGTGTCATTGGAGAAGTCACTTAATCTGAGGAGACCCAAGATTCCTCATCTGTGAAATGATGGATTTGGAAGATGTGGCCCCCAAGGACCCTCCTAGTTCTGGATCTAAGATCCTGCTTCTATGTAGCCTTAGCACAAACAGATCCCTTTTCTGAATTTAACCCAGGCGGGTTGAGTAGAGAGTGTTGGACCTGGACTCAGGAAGACCCAGTTCAAATCTTACCCCTGATAATTAGGAACTGTGTGACCCTAGGCAAGTTATGTAACTGCTCTCAGCCTCAGTTTCCTCATCTGTAAAATGGGAAAAATGATAGCACCTAAGTCACAAGGTAAAGATGTAAAGATATTTGCCAACCTTAAAGGACCATATAAATGCTTGTTATTGTTATTATTGCTTCTCCTTTTCCTAATATTGTTATTATCTGTCAAATGCAAATAATATTGTTATGTGCCTCAGCAGGGTGTCGGGAAGGCTGACTTGGATGATGCATGTCATGCCTTTGTTAGTATCAATCTGCCTTCCAATATCAATCTGCTGTTATCAGCATCATGGAAAAAAAAAACAAAACCAAAAACAAAAACAAAAACAAAAACAAACTTCTCATACTGAATTCAGAAAATCCAGCTTGGGTCTTGCCTCTGAAACTCACTAGCTGCGCAATATTGGGCAAGATACATGCTCTCAGAGCTCAAAGTGGCTCTATAAGACTTGGGGAAACAGAGAAAATGCCTCTAGGAGGTCCTACCAAGGAAGAAGGACTGATGGGCAGTGGGTCCATTATCTCAGAACCACCTTGACTTGAAGCTACAGACTCTCCTGAAGAAGACAGCTTAGGAAGGAGACAGAACTGAACAGACCCCATTAGCTGGGTAAGCAGCCTTGATTACATCTGGATGCTAAGTGAACACCTGGTCACCTTTCCCAAAGGCATGAAAGATCTGTCCTCACTCCTTTCTCCAGGGAGCTGTTCTCATGAAGCTCATGTTATTTGTGTTGGGAAAAGGGGCCAGTTTGGCCATCAGGAGATTGAGTCCGTGTGTCAACCCCTCAGTGTCATGAAAAGAGCTGGCCAAACCAGCTGTTTGGTGTCATGGAAACAACCGAAGGATTAACTGAATGATCCTGGGACTTTTCAACACCCCTGAAGTTCCAGCCTTTAGTCTGTTAATGTTTCTCTAAAATTTTCAGGCAAGAAGCTCCCCTCCCTCCACCTTCCTTTTGGCATAGGGAAGAAAAGACATGATGTAGACTCATGTCCAAATGGACAGAGGGCAGGCCTTGGAGCCAGGAGGGTCAGAGGACCAGACACTGAGAGCTCAAAGGGACCTCAGAAAGCCTTCCAGTTCAGCTCTCTATTTTACAGATTTGGAAACTGAGTCTCAAGGGAAGTTAAGTGATATGATCATGTCCTCCTCTCTCCCTTCTGTTATTGTTGAATTTGTCCTTTGTTCTTGAAGAGGACCATGACATCAGGAAGTTGGTGACATGATTCGCAATTGATTTTGATTTGAGTGAGGGAGGGCTGTGCAAGGTCACCAGCCTCACTTTCTCCTCTGGGTCCAGTTGGGAGATACTCTACTTTACAATGTACTCTGCATTTCTTTCTAGCTTTACCAGAGTCAGGTGAGGCATTATCTAATTAATTTATTGAACAAACCCTCAATAATAATAATAGCTAACACTTATGAAGCTGTTTGAAGTTTCCAAAGGATTTTAATAATATCATCTGATTGAATATTCAAAACAACCTTGGGAGATAGGTGCTACTATTATCCCCATTTTACAGATGAGGAAATTGAAGCAAAGAGTAGTTAAATGACTTGCCCAGCTAATAAGTGTCTGAGGCCAAATTTGAACTGAGATCTCCCTGACTCCAAGCTCAGCACTTGATCCATTATACTACCTAGTTGTGTAGAGGTATATTAAGCACTTACTATATGCCAGGCACTGAGCTAAGTGTTGGAGATAAAAGGAAGAAACAAACATTCTAATGAGAAAGAGGATACCGTGATCAAATGGGAACATATGATATACACACAGAGTAGAAGGAAAAAGAAGAGTTTCCTATAGAAGACCTGGATCTTGAAGGAAGCCAGAGATCCCCATGAATGGAAGTGAGGAGGCCTGGGCAACAGCCAGTGCCAACGCATGGAGTCAAGAGATAAGAGTGGTGTGGGCAGAACAGAACCCAGGCTATGTGGAGTGGATAGTGGAGAGGAAAGACAGGATTGGATCAGGTTATAAAGAGCATTCAATTTCAGGGCAGTTTATATTTGATCCTGCAGGCAGTAGGGAGCCATCAGAGCTCACTGAGCAGGGTAAGAGGGGTGTAGTCTTGTCAGACCTACACTTTAGGAAAATCATTGTGGCAGCTGGGTGGAGGATGGATTGGTTTGGGGAATAACTTGAAACAAGGGCATCACTTAGGAACTTCTTGCTCCAGGTGACAGATTTCCCATAGGAATGTTAACACTTTAGAAATAGAAAGGTCTGCATAGATCACATACACATAATTTTAATAAAATTTAGATATTTTTTAATAATTTTTAAAAAAATCTATTAAATTTCAAATTTTATTAGCAATAAATTAAATTTATTAAATTAAAATTGACTAGTAATTATTTAAATGGAAAGTATTTATTTTAAATGATTTTAATTTTTCTATAATTAAAAAAATACTATTAACATAAGCTTGTAAGTGAAGGAAATTAACAGGATTTGATGCCTGGGGAATTATCTAGTACTGCCCCTGAAGGAAGGACTGCCCCAAATGACATGCTCCACAAGTGAGCATGCCACCTGCAAGAAGGATGAATGAGGCCGCCCAGCTTGGTAGGACATTGTTGTTCCCACCTCCTTCCCTTTGCACAGACTGGTTCCCTAGATTAATTGGCACCTTCTCCTTCCTCCTGCCCACTAGAACCCCCAACTTCCTTCAAGGCTCAGTTCAGAGGCTGCCTCCACTTGTAAGGACTTTCTCCTTACTAAAATCCTTTGTAATTACTTAGGACCAGAATATGACAGCTTTGAGGGTGAAGAGGACCTTCCAGGCCACCTACTCCAACCCTCTCACTTATTAGAGATGAAAAAACATGCCCCAGAGGGTCTGAGTCAGTCCACATCACACAACTAAGAAGAGGCACGATTAAACTCAGATATTGTGGATTTGAATCCCTGGGATTCTTGGTCCACGGCTTCAGAGCTGGAAGGAAGGTTATTGACCATCTAGCCCAGTCCCCTCATTTGATAGATGAGGAAACTGAGGCCCAAGAAGTTTAAGTAAGGTCACCCAAGGATACCCAGGGGATGACCTGAGCTTGTGGGTGGTGGCTAGGCCTGGGGGGATTCTGGGGTCATTGCAAAGAATCCGGAAGACCATCAGGCAAAACTGAACCGGAGGATGACTTCTCTCATTTTAACAACATTACCATCTAAAGGTCTGCTATTTTAAATTTTGTTGTGATTTATTTTCCTAATCAATGAATATTACTAGTACATGCACCATCCCATGATTGTGGGTTTCAGGAAGTAGAGTCTGTAAAGTTTCTTAATGTTAATAAGGTTGGTGCCCCTTGGCCTCGGCCCCCTTCCTCCTGAGTATGGCTCACCTATTGAGAAAGGCAGAAAGGACTCTCTCTTCTTAAATTGACCATTCTCAAGGAAATGTTCCGGGTTGAAGGTTTCTGGGGTAGCCCACTCCTTGGGGTCTCTGTGCAAAGCTTTCAGGTTAGTCATCATCGCAGAGCCCTTGAAACAAGAGGGAAAAAAAAAAAACTAAGTCCAAGGAACTTTGAGGCAAAAAAGTCCTGGCACACCCTCTCACTTTACAGAAAAGAGAATTAGTGACTGTGATGGGGCAAAGAACTAGCCAAGGTCACACAGCTCTTTAGCAGGAAGCCCACTGTAGAACTCAAGACATCTTACAGCAGGGGCTCCCAACCTGTTTGGGGTCATAGACCCCTTTGGAAGGCTGGCAGAGCCTTTGGAATGCTTCTCAGAAATATGTTTTAAAATTAATTACACAAAGGATTACAAAGGAAACAGAGTATTTGCAAATGCTACCATCGTGATCTAAACAAAACTAAATAAAATATTGAGTTCATGAACCCCAAGTTAAGAACCCTGGCCCTAGAGAGTCATAAATTTAGGATTGGAAGGGATTGGAGAGGTCATCTGGTCATTCCCTCTCATTTTACAGATGAGTAAACTAAGACATGTAAAGGTAGACTGACTCAAGGTCCCCCAGATAGAGTCAGAAAGGGGAGATGTACCCAAACTGCCTTATTCTAAACTGCCTCTTTGGGGCAAGGTGGGTATCCAATAGCCCTGGGCGATTTGTCTTCCACATGGCCTCTGCCCCATCCAGGACCACACCCTACCCAATGCCTACTTATTAATTAGGTGGTAAATGAGTAAGCTTCCCAGATAGCAATGCTCCTGAAATTCCTTCAGAAGTCTTGTAAGAAATGATGGTTAGAAATGGTAGATACTGTGAAAGAATGATGGAACAGGAGATAAGAGAGCCCATTCAAAATCTTTGATACAGGCTGGTTAAAATATGTGATTATACATTTAAGGGTAGAGGCCTTCTCATTTTTACATATGAGGAAACTGAGGTGAAATGAGCTGTCCAGGGATACACAGTAAGCATCTGAGTTTGAATTTGAAGGTAGGTCTTCCTGATTCTAGTTCCAGCTCTCTCTCTACTGTGCCTTGTTGGGTTGTAACCTCCAGTTTCCTTGTATCTAATGATAAAGACACACCTGTCCTTATGAGAGGAACTCAGAGGGTTAGCTAAAATGGGGGCAGAGAAGACATCAGTAGGTGTGGCCAGACCTTTTTGTATCCTTTTTGTGTGAGTGAGCAGGCATGGCCCTGTCTCTGGGCCTGGAGATCTTAGAACAAATATAGAATTCAGACTACATCTTGGGAGTTAATCTCTGCTTCCTTGAATGGATGAAATCATAGTGTTTGACCATGGAGGGAGCTAGAGCCAATCCTCATCATTCAACTCCACAAAGGGGTTAAGTGACTTGTCCAGGGTCACACAGCTCAGCATTCCAACCCTGGGCTTCCAGATTCCAAGTTAAATACTCTCCCCACTATTCCAATGTGTATCTTTGCCTCCATACTTAAATAACATCTTCTTCCTTAACATTTAAGCCCAACTTAGTCCACTTCCTAAAGTGTTCCCTTTCTTATTATCTCTCTGGACTCTCTAAATCCTATCCCTCCATCCTTCAAATCCCAGTTTGCTCACTTCCTCTTCTGTGAAGCTATCCTTGATTGCTTCCTCCTATCATGAGCTCTCCCTTCTCCTGGTTCATCCCTCATCTATACCTGGTACTCATGAACTAGCTGAGTGACCCTGGGGAAGTCACTTCCCTCTGCCTGTCTCAGTTTTCTCATCTGTAAAATAGGAATGATAACAGCACTTCCCTCCCAGGGTTGTTGAGGTTCAAGAGAGATATTTCTAAAGTGCTTTGTAAACCTGAAAGTGCAAAACAAATGGCACGTATTTCTTTGCTCATTTTTGTGCTCTGTGTTCCTCACAGGGTCTTACACATAGTTATAAGCTCAGTAAATGAATAAGAAATCAAACCTAGTTCAGAAAACCAGTTTAAAGCTCAGCAGCACTTAGCACAGTGCCTGGAACATTGTATGTACTTAAGAAATGTTTATTGCATGGAATTGTGAGGTTGCTATGAGGGAAATGCTTTGGAGTTATTGTAGCTATATGAAACTAGTAGCTGTTAAAATTATTTGTTAATCATGATTTCCATTTAGGCTCCAGGAACTAAAGTGACTTCTTTGAAAGGTGAAATCTGGATTAGAGCCTGGGCCCGAGGAAAGGGTGTTGATTGAGCTGTCCTGACCAGGTTCCAGGAGTGAAATTCGGGGTATGGGATATTCAAATAACTCCTTCAGAATTCTGTGCTCAGAATCTATCTGAGTCTATTTACTCACTGTGACTGAGAAACCATTGCTATCTGAGTAAATATGATTTGTTTTGAGTAAACATGATTTTGGTTTTGGGGGAAGGTCCATGCAAAACATATTATGCTCATATGAGTATAGAGTCCAGAACAGGTGGAAGGACATTTAATGATCATCTAGTCAAACCCTCTTATTTTTCAAATGGATAAACTGAGGCCCATAGGTGTGTCACTCATAGGGATGTCACACAAAGGGAACTTAAGTGGGTAAGTAATTTATTTTTTTAATTAATTAATTTATTTTTAGTTTTCAACATTCACTTCCATAAGATTTTGAGTTTTAAATTTTCTCCTCCTATCTCACCTCCTCCCTCCCCAAGACAGCATGCAATCTGATATAGGCTCTACATACACATTCATATTAAACATATTTTCACATCAGTCATGCTGTAAAGAAGAATTAGAACCAATGGTAGGAACTATGAGAAAGAAGAAAAACAAAACAAACAAACAAAAAAAGAGCAAATAGTATGCTTCGATCTGCATTCAGACTCCATAGTTCTTTCTCTGGATGTGGATAACATTTTCCATCATGAATCTTTTGGAATCGTCTTAGATCCTTGAATTGCTAAGAAGAGCTAAATCTATCGAAGTTAGTCACCATACAATGTTGCTGTTACTATGTACACTGTCCTATTGGTTCTGTTCACTTCACTCAGAATCAGTTCACATAAGCCTTTCTAGGCTTTTCTGAAGTCTGCCTGCTCATCATTTCTTATGGAACAATAATATTCCATTGCATTCATATAACACAACTTGTTCAGCCATTCCCCAACTGATGGGCATCCCCTCAATTTCCAATTGTTTGCCATTACAAAAAGAGCTGCTATAAATATTTTTGTACACGTGGATCTTTTTCCCATTTTTATGATCTCTTTGGGATACAGATCTAGAAGTGGTATTGCTGGGTTAAAAGGTATGCACAGTTTGATAGCCTTTTGGGCACTTTTCCAAATTGTCCTCCAGCATGGTTGTATTAGTTCACAACTCCTCCATTAATGCATTAGTGTTCCAATTTTCCCACATCTTCTTCACCATTCATCATTTTGCTCTGTTGTCATGTTAGCCAATCTGGTAAGTGTGATGTGATATGTCAGAACTGTCTTGATTTGCATTACTCTAATCAATAGTGATTTAGAACATTTAGAAGCTACAAATAGCTTTAATTTCTTCATGTGAAAACTACCCGTTCACATCCTTTGTCCATTTATCAATTGAGGAATGACCTGTATTCTTATAAATTTGACTCAGTTCTCTATATAATTTTAGAAATGAGATCTTTATCTGAGAGACTGACTATAAAAAAAATTGTTCCCCAACTTTCTGCTTCCCTTCTAATCTTGGTTGCATTGGCTTTGTCTATGCAAAAACTTTTCAATGTAATCAGAATCATTTATTTTGCATGTCATCATGTTGTCCATCTCTTGTTTGGTCATAAATTATCACTTCTCTTTAGATCTAACAGGCAAACTATTCCTTGCTGTCCTAGTTTGCTGAAAGTATCAGCTTTTATATCTAAATTGTGTGCCCATTTCAACTTCTTTTTGGTAGACTGTGTAAGGTGTTGGTCTATGCTTATTTTCTACTATACTGTTTCCAATTTTCCCATCAGTTTTTTTTAAGAGCAATTTCTTATCACAGAAGCTGAAATCTTTGGATTTATGAAACATTAGATTACTTTAGCCATTGACTATTGTGTCTTGTGTACCTACTCTATTACACTAATCCGCCATTATTTCTTAGCTAGTACAAAGTAGTTTTCATGACTGCTGCTTTATAATGCAATTTAAGATCTGCTTTCTGTTAGTTTTTTTTGTTGTTGCTGTTGATATGGTCAATCATTTTAATAGTTTTCCTAATATTGAACCATGCATTCCTGGTAAAAATCCTGCCTGGTCAAAGTGTATTATCCTCAAGAAAAAATGCTGAATTCTCTTTGCTAGTATTTTGTTTAAAATTTTATTTTTATTTATTATTTTATTCATTATATTATATTTATAATATTTATTTTATTATATATTACATACTTAATATAAAATATTTTATTTACTATACTTTATTTATTCATGTATTTTTATTTATTTAAAATTTTGCATCTATATTCATTAGCGAAGTTGGTCTATAATTTTCGTTCTCTGTTTTGACTCTTCCTGGTTTAGGTATCAATACCATATGTGCATCACAAAAAGAATTTGGTAGAACTTCTCCCTTGCCTATTTTTACACATAGTTTATATAGTATTGGAATTAATTCTTCTTTAAATGTTTGATAGAATTCACTTGTAAATCCATCTGGCCCTGGAGATTTTTCTTAGAGAGTTCATTGATGACTTGTGCAATTTCTTTTTCTGAAATGGGGTTAAGTATTTTATTTCCTTTTCTGTTAATCTGGGAAATTTATAATTTTGTAAATACACATCCATTTCACTAAGACTGTCAAATTTTTTGGCATACAGTTGGCCAAAATAGCTCCTAATTATTGTTTTAATTCCCTGTTCATTGGTGGTGAATTCACCCTTTCCATTTTTTGATACTGGCAATTTGGTTTTCTTTTTTCTTTCTGTTAACCAAGTTAACAAAAAAATCTATTTTTTATACAGTCATATTTTAGTTTTATTTGTTAGTTTAATAGTTTTCTTTATTTCAATTTTATTAATCTCTCCTTTCATTTTCAGAATATCTAATTTGGTATTTAAGTGGGGATTTTTAATTTGTTCTTTTTGTAGCTTTTTCAGTTGCATGCCCAATTCATTTATTTCCTCTTTCTCCATTTATTTATGTAACCATTTAGTGACATAAAACTTCCCCTAAGAATCACTTTTGCTGCATCCCATAAGTTTTGGTATGTTATCCCATTATAGTCATTATTTTGGATGACGTTATTATTTCTATGTTTTGTTGTTTTACCTACTCATTTTTTAGGATTAGATTATTTAGTTTCCAATTAATTTTAGTCTATCTTTTCATGGCCTTTATTACATGTAATTTTTGTTGCATCATGATCTGCAAAGGATGAATTTAGTATTTTTGCCTTTCTCCAATAGATTGTGATGTTTTTATGACCTAATACATGGTCAATTTTTGTGTAGGTGCCATGTACCACTGTGAAAATATTCCTTTCTATTCCCATTCAGTTGTCTCCAGATATCTATCATACCTAACTTTTCTAAAATTCTATTCACCTCCTTAATTTCTTTCTTCTTTTTTTTTTGTTAGATTTATCTAGGTCTGAGAGGAGAATGTTGAGGTCACACACTAGTATAGTTTTGTTGTCTATTTCTTTTTCTAACCACCTTAACTTCTCCTCTAAAAAAATGGGTGCCATACCACTTGGTGCATATGTTTAGTAATGATATTTCTTCATTGTCTATGATACCTTTTTGAAGGATGGAGTTTCCTTCCTTATCTCTTAATTAGATCTATTTTTGCTTTTGCTTTGTCTGAGATCATGATTGCCACTCCTGCTTTTTAATTCACCTGAAACATAATATATTCTACTCCAGCCTTTTACCTTTACTCTGTGTGTATCCCTCTGTTTCAAATGTGTTTCTTGTAAACAACATATTGTAGGCTTATGGTTTTTAATCTATTCTGCTATCTGCTTCCATTTTATGGGAGAGTTTATCCCATTCACATTCGCAATTATGATGACTATCTGTGTCTTTCTCTCCATTCTATTCCCCCACTCTTTTATGTTTTTCTCTCTCCTTTTTCCATTTCTGTCCTCAGTAGAGTTTTGCAATTGACCACCAACTCCCTCAATCTACTCTCCTTTCTATCAGTCCTCTTCCTTTTCTTTCCCTTTTCCCTTAGTACTTCTTTCCTCCCTTCGATCCACCCCTCCTTTTTCTTTCCCTTTTCCCCTCCTACTCCCTATAGGGTAAGTTGGATTTCTGTACCGAACCATGTTACCTCTTTGAGGCAAATCTGATGAGAGTAAGGTTCAAACCATACTTGTCTCCCTCCCTTCTTTCCCTATACTGTGATAGGTCTTTGTGTCTCCTCATATGATGTAATTTACCCTTTTCTTCTTCTCCTTTTCTCTTTTCCCAGTACAACCCCTTTTCACAACTTAATTAAATTTTATATAATCACGTCAAAGTCAACTCATACTCATGCCCTCTGTTTATGTATACCCCTTCTAAGTGTCATAATAAAGATACAGTTCTCAAGAGTTACAAGTATCATCTTCTCATATCAGGATGTAAACAGTTTTCCCTTGTTGAATAATATGTTTTTTTTTCCTTCACTTGTTTCTTTTTTATGCTTTTCTTGAGTCTTGTATTTGAAGATTGAAAGATTGTGCTTAATTTCACTAGGTAGTTGATCCTTGGTTGTAAGCCAAGCTCCTTTGTCTTACAGAACATCATATTCCAAACCCTCCACTACATTAATGTAGAAGGTGAAAGGTCTCGTGTTATCCTGACTGTGGTTCCACAATATCTAAATTGTTTCTTTCTGGATGCTTGCAGTATTTTCTCCTTGATTTGAACATTCTGGAATTTGGCTACAATATTTCTTGGTATTTTCAATTTGGGATCTCTTTCAGGAGGTGATAGGTGGATTCTTTTGATGACCATTTTACTCTCTGGTTCTAGGACCTCAGGGCAGTTTTCTTTGATGATTTCTTGAAAGATGCTGTCCAGGCTCTTTTTTTTATCATGGCTTCCAGGTAATTCAATAAATCTTAAATTATCTCTCCTGGATCTAATTTCTAGGTTAGTTGTTTTCCCAATAGGATATTTTATGTTTTCTTCTATTTTTTCATTCTTTTGATTTTGAGTGATTCTTGATGTCTCATAGAATCATTAGGTTCCACTTGCCCAGTTCTAACTTTTAACAAACTGTCTTCTTCAATTACCTTTTGTTCCTCATTTTCCATTTGGCCCATTTTACTTTTTAAGCAATTCTTCTCTTCATGAGTTTTTATGCTTCATTTTCCATTTGGGCAATTTTACTTTTTAAGTAGTGGTTTTCTTCAATGTACTTTTTTCCTACTTGACCAATTGTATTTTTTAAGGATTTGCTTTCTGCAGTCAATTTTTGTTTTTCTTTCTCCAAGATATTGACTCTCTCTTGCATACCTCTCATTTCTTTTCCCAATTTTTCCTCTACCTCTCTTATTTGACTTTTAAAATCTTATTGAGCTCTTCCAAGAAGGCTTTTTGGGCTAAAGGCCAGTTCATATTCCCCTTTGAGGTTTCAGGTGTGTGTATATTGACAATGCTATCTTCTTCTGAATTTGAATTTTGATCTTTCCTGTCCCCACGTAAAGAATCTATGATCATTGTCCATTTCTGCTTTTTGCTCATGATATTTGCCTATATCCTGGCTCCTATATTCTGGCTTTTAAAGTTGAGCTCTCCTGCTGGAATGCAGGAGTCACTAACCCAAGCTTCTTGTGCTGGGGAGAGGGACCTGGTCACTGGCTTTATGTTCTGGGGCTCAGGTGTTGGCAGCTGGAGGCTGTAGGGGTCTGATAGTTAATTTGGTGCTGAGCAAGGGTCAACAGTAATGAAGCTCTCAGGGTGGGGGCATGGGGTCTGGTCCCTGGAAAATGCCTGCTCATCTGGGTTGTTCTGAAGCACTGGAAGTTTTGGCTGCTGTAGGATGCCTGTCCACGTGGAAGAATGCTAAAGCATGGGGAAGTTTTGCTGCTGGAGTGTACCGGTTTCTGTACCTGTGCTAAGGCACTCGGGGGTACTGGCGAAGACCAACTTCATGCACCCTAGACCAAGACCTTTGTTCTGCCATCTATATTATTTTTCATTTTACCTTCTTCTACCCCAACCCCAAGGGAAGATGGAAGCCATGGAGCCCCTTCAGATTCATGGGAGAAAAATAAATTTACCTTTGGCACGTGGTATCCTGCCACTGTGGTATCAACTGTGGCCACCCTGATCACATTGAAAGGAATAATATCACCCATTCTCTGAACTTCATGAATAGCTGCATTAGTATAGGGCAGAATCTCTCTATCAGTCATGGTGGGTTGCCTGGATTGGCCAATCACCCGGTCAATCTCAGCTTGTATTTTGCCTGGAAAGAAGGAGAGTGTTCTGAGAGCCAAACAATAGCTCACATTTATAGAGTGCTTTAAAATTTTCAAAATATTTTATAAATATTATCTCACTGAATCCTCACAACAATGCCAGGAGGACAGTGCTATTATTGTCCCCACTTTATAGATGGAACTGAGGCAGCAGAAGTTAAGTGACTGCTCAGTGTCATACATCCAGATGGATTTGAACTCAGGGCTTCCTTTCCCCTCAAATCTAATTTTCTGTGTTCAAGTGGGAGAACTATAGCCACAACTATGGTTGAATGAATGGTTGGCTGGACACCAGCAAAAGTGCAAATGTCTATAACTTGGAAAGGTGGAGATTTGAACATGGAAGGAGGGAGCTGATAGAAGGGAGCGCAGATTGAAGGAGGTCATGGTGAAAAGGAAAACATTGGTGAGGAGGGACAAAGTGAAAGGATAATGGGGCAAAATAGGATGGAGGAAAATACACAGTTAGTAATCATAACTGTGAATGCGAATGGGATGAGCTCTCCCATAAAATGGAAGCCGATAGCAGAGTGGATTAAAAACCAGAATGCTGGGGACAATTAGATGACACAGTAGATAGAGCACCAGCCCTGGATTCAGGAAGATCTGAGTTCAAATCTGGCCTCAGACACTTGACACTTACTAGCTGTATCACTCTGGGTAAGTCACTTCACCCCATTGCCTCAGGGAAAAAAAAAACAGAATCCTACAATATGTTATTTACAAGAAACACATTGGAAGTAGAGAGATACACACAGTAAATGCAAAAGGCTGGAGCAGAATATATTTTGCTTCAGCTAAAAGAAAAAAAAATAAAGCAGGGGTAGCTATCCTCAGCTCAGACAAAACAAAAACAAAAAAAATAGATCTAATTAAAAGAGATAAGGAAGGAAACTACATCTTACTAAAGTGTACTATAGACAGTGACATAATATCAATATTGAACATATGTGCACCAAGTGGTATAGCATCCAGATTCTTAGAGGAGAAGTTCATTGAGTTACAGGAAGAAATAGACAGCAAAACTATAATATTGGAAGACCTTAACCTCCTCCTCTCAGAACAAGATAAATCTAACCAAAAAAGAAACAAGAAAGAAGTTAAGCATTGAATAGAATTTTAAAAAAGTTACATATGATAGATATCTGGAGAAAATCAAATGGGAGTAGAAAGGCATATACCTTTTTCTCAGTGGTACATGGCACCTACACAGTATTTGACCAGTAATAGTGCATAAAAAATTCAAAATCAAATACTGAAAGACCAAAATATTAAATGAATCCTTTACAAATCATGATGTAATAAATATTACATGTAATAAACTGCCATGGAAAGATAGACTAAAATTAATGAGAAATGAAATAATCTAATCCTAAGGCATGAATGGGTCAAAAAAGAAATCATAAAAACCATCAATAACTTCATCTAAGAAAATGGCAATAACGATACAACATACCAAAACTTATGGGAAGCAGAAAAAGCAGTTACTAGGGGAAGTTTTATATCACTCACTGCTTACATGAATAAAATAGAGATCAAGGAATTGAGCATGCAACTAAAAACACTAGGAAAAAAAACATTAAAAATCCCCATTTAAATACCAAATTAGAAATTCTGAAAACCAAAGGAGAGATTAATAAAATTAAAATTAAGAAAACTATTGAACCAATAAATAAATCTAAGAGCTTGTTTTATGAAAAAAAAGTAGATAAATTTTCTGTTAATTTGATTTAAAAAAAAGGAAAGAAGAAAACTAAATTGCCAGCATCAAAAACAAAATGGGTAAATTCACCACCAACGAAGAAGAAATTAAAGCAATAATTAGGAGCTATTTTGCCCAACTGTATGCCAATAAATTTGAGAGTCTTACTGACGTGGATGTATATTTATAAAAATATAAATTGCCAATAAAATGGAAGGGTAAATAAAATATTTAAATAACCCCATTTCAGAAAAAGAAATTGAACAAGCCATCAATGAACTCCCTAAGAAAAAGAAAATGTCCATGGCCGGATGGATTTACAAATGAATTCTATCAAATATTTAAAGAACAATTAATTCTAATAATATATAAACTATTTGGGGGGAAAAACAAAGAAAGAGTTCTACAAAATTCTTTTTATTATACAAATAAAGTACTGATACCTAAACCAGGAACAGTCAAAACAGAGAAATAAAATTATAGACCAATTTCCTTAATGAATATAGATGCAAAAATTTTAGCAAAGACTTTACAGCAACCTATCTTGAGGATAATACACTACAACCAGGTAGGATTTATATCAGGAATGCAGCACTCATTCAATATTAGGAAAACTATCAGCTTAATTGACTATATCAGCTACAAAACTAACAGAAATTATATGATTATTTCAATAGATGCAGAAAAAGCTTTTGAGAAGATACAACACCCATTCCTATTAAAAACAGTAGAGAACAGAAGAATAAATGGAGTCTTTCTTAAATTATTATGTACCATCTATCTAAAACCATCAGGAAATATGATATGTAATGGGGACAAGCTAGAAGCATTTCCAAGATCAGGGGTGCAACAAGGATGTCCATTATCACCACTGTTATTCAATATGGCACTTGAAATGTTAGCTTTAGCAATAAGAGAAGAAAAAGAAATTGAAGGAATTATATAAAGAAAAGAAAAAACTAAGTTATCACTATTTGCAGATGATATGATGATATACTTAGAGAATCCTAGAGAATCAAGTAAAAAATACTTGAAATAATAAAAAAAACTTTAGCAAAGTTACAGGACATAAAATAAACACATATAAATCATCAGCATTTCTATATGTATATATATGTATTATGTATGTATGATGTATGTATGAATGTGTTTGTGTGTGTGTATATATATATGTGTGTATATATATATATATGTATGTGTGTATATATATTACTAACAAAGCCCAACAGCAAGAGATAGAAAGAGAAATTCCATTTAAAGTTACTGTAGACATTGTAAAATATTTGGAAGTCTACTACCAAAACAAACTCAGTAACTATGTGAACACACTTACAAAACACTTTTCATACAGATCAAGTCAGATCTAAATATCTGGAAAAAAACATCAGTTGTTCATGGTTTGACTGAACTAATACAATAAAAATTACAATTCTAAATATATTAATGTACTGATTCAGTGCCATACCGATCAAACTAACAAAAATATTTTATAGAGCTAGAAAAAATAATATCAAAATTCATCTGGAAGAATAAAAATTCCATAATATCAAGGGAATTAATGAAAAGGATTGCTAGGGAAGGAGGCCTAGACATACCATATCTTAAATTGTATTATAAAGCAGCAATCATCATAACTACTTGGTACTGACTAAGAAATAGAGTGGTTCATCAGTGAAACAAGTTAGGTACACAAGACATAGTAGTCAGTGACTATAGTAATCTACTGTTTGATAAACCCAAAGACTCCAGCATCGGGGACATGAACTCACTATTGTGCAAATACATACATACATATATATATATATATACATATATATATATATATATAGCACCTCTGTTTGTGATCACAAAGAATTTGAAATTGTATGGATTGTATGGATGCCTATCAATTGGGGAATGGCTGAACAAGTTGCAGTATTGTGAATGAAATGGAATACTATTGTTATAGAAGAAATGATGAGCAGAGAGATTTGAGATAAACCTGGAAAGACTTATATGAACTGATGCTGAGAGAAGTGAGCACAACCATGAGAATATATTACATAGTAACAACATCGTGCAAAGATCAACTTTGATAGACTTAGCTCTTCTCAGAAATATAATGATCCAAGACAATTCCAAAAGACTCATTATGGAAAACACTATCCACATCAGGAGAAAGAATTGTGGAGTCTGAATAGAGATTGAAGCATACTATGTTTATTTTTTTTCTTTCTCTCTTCTTTTTTTGTTCTGATTCTTCTTTCACATCATGGCTAGTGTGGAAATATGTTTAACATAATTGGACATATATAACCTATAACAGATTGCTTGCTGTCTTGGGGAGGGGAAGGGAGACAAATCTGGAATTCAAAATCTTACAAAAATGAATGTTGGAAACTATCTTTACATGTAATTTGAAAATAATACTATTTAGTGCACAAAAAGGAAGTGGATGCATCTCTTGTTGATGGATGTCTCATTGAGTTTAGGCTCAAAAGGCAGATCCACTATTTGAGAATAATTCGTGGGGATGGATCAAGTGAGTTTTTATTTTTTTGGGATAGGGTATGTTTGTAGGCAGTAAGGCAGCAGCTAGTTGACAAGGAGTGATTGGAAATAAAGGAAAGAGTGAGAAAGATAGAGATGACAATATGCTAAAGAAAATGAAATAGAATGTGATCTTTTGTGCATCTAGAGGAGTTGACCTTGGCAAAATGAAGGGTAACCTCTTCATGAGAGATAGGGATGGAGGAGACAGTAGTGGCAGAAGGCATCAGGGTGATGTGAGATGTTGTTACTTGTACTTCATTCTCTAAGAGGACCATTACATCAGTGATGCCATGACTTGTAAGTGAATTGGGTTTAAGTGAGGGAGGGCTATGCAAGGTCACGAGGCTCACTATGTCCTCTGAAGCCATCTGGATGCAGTGGCAAGATATAGATTAGGATGACTAAGGATAGTCCCAGATGCAGTGGCAGATCTTGGCCTTTTTTTCAATGTGAGATGAGAAGGGAGAAAGAGGGAGCCCATGGTCAATGACCTCAAGATTTGCAATAAAATGAATTGATGCAAAATGAAGTGAGCAGAACCAGGAGAATATTGTACACGGTAACAGCAATATGATGAAGAACTATGACTGACTTAACTATTCTTAGCAATACAATGATCCAGGACAATCCCAAAATAATAGTGAAGCATACTCTTTGCCTCCAGAAGAAAAAAAAAACCAGATATTTTCTGAATACAGACTGAAGCATGCTATTATTTACTTTATTTCTTTCATTTTTATTCATCTTCTCATATAAAATGACTAATAGGGAAATGTTTTACATGAGTGCACATGTGTAAACCAATATCTGATTGACTACCGTCTCAGGGAGGAAGAAGAGGAGTGAGGGAGGAATAGAATTTGAAACGGAAAACTTTAAAAAGTTAAAAAAAGATTTCATATGTAATTGGAGAAAAAATAAAATTTTATATACATATATGTATATAATGATTTGCAGTAAAAATATGGAGTAAGTTTCTCAGCTGAAAGTGTTGGGGGTGAGTGAGCCATGCTCCTGTGAGAAGGGATGAAAAGGTTTGGAAGAGCTGCTGCAGTGAATAGGAAATCAATTAATTAGGGAAATGTAGAAGGAGTACCTTGCAGCAAACGTTATGAAATTATGTAAGATCAATTTGTAGTGGATACAGTCAAAATGGTTTTGTGATTTTCTTTATCTTCATTTAACAGCACATGAGTGAGAGTGAAGGCCAGTGATAGGAGAATTGAATCAAGCTTGATAGGGCAAGACAGATGTGATACCATCGTTGGACAAGAGTCCATTGAAGTAGTTCACCAAGGGGTCAAGATGGAAAAAAGAGGCAAGTGTGGCTAGTGCACGGTGTTGGCCTGGGAGGGAACTGAGGAATGAAAAGATTGGCAGTCAAGGAAGGCAGAGGGATAGGTGGAATATTAATAGATTGAGATCAAATAAAGATATTTCAGAATTCATGAATTCAGAAAGTAGTATATTTGTGGGCAATGGCCAGATCACCCATTTAGAGTAGCTTATACCTATATATTAATATATAGGTAATATGTAATAAATATAATATAACATATAGTAATTATATGTAATATAAATATAAATATATATATATTAGAGTAGCTCATATCTAAGTTATTAGCTCATAACTAAGAAACATGGACTATTTGTGCTTGACCTGTGGTAGAGCATTCTGAGCTCATATTGGACTAATTAGCTATAGTCTGATTGTACATACACATTGTAACTTTCTCTAACATAGTGATGTCATTTTGGTCCTCTTTGAAAACTAAGGACAACAATCATTAAAACTAAGTTAATGCTTGTTGACAGTGTGATTTGAAGAACCAATGTGATAGCCAATTTCTCATCATTCTACAATGGTCGTTATAGAAGTAGAAGCTGACTGCAGAGGGTTGAGGGTCATTTTGTGTCATTCTTTGTGCTAAGAGTTGCTATGGCCTTAGAATTCATCACCCAGTGTTCAGCCTCCTGGGATGAGCTACTTGGTACTTAGCTAAACTGGGCTTCAGCATATATGTCTCAACTGTTGGAACTATAGAGCCTTCTGTATGAGAGGCACTATGCTAAGCCCTGGGGATACAAAAAGAGGCAAAATAGGGTGGCCTCAAGGAATTTACCTTTCTAGTGTGGTAGAACCCGCTAGAGCCATCCACTCCACTGACATTGACATTGAGATCCCAGGGTCACTTCTACATCACAGACAGGCATTAGAGGAGGACTTTGTATAGGTCTTTCTTACCTCAAGCCCAAATTAGGTTTCCTGCAACTTTCGTACATTGAAATCTCTTCTACCCACAAAGGTAAAATTGAATAAATTTAATCCTTCTTTTACACAAGAGCCCTTCAAATACTTGAAGTCTGCCATCATGTCTTTCTTAAGTTTATGATATTTTTGGCCCCCATTTTAAACATGGGAAAACTGAAGCTTAAAGTAGTATTTTACTTCTGCTGATTTTCTCCTATTTATTCTGTCTATATATTGTTTGTCCATAGCTATTTGCATGTTGCCTCTCCCATTACACTGTGAACTCTCTGAGAACAGGACCTGGTTGGTGTTTTGTTCTTTTTTGTTTGCTTTTCTTTATATTCATATTACTTAGCACTGTGTGTGGTGCATAGTAGGTGTTTAATAAATGCTCATTAACTCACTGAAATGCCTTGTCCAAAGTGTCATGACTGCTTAGAGGGGAAGCATGAGCTAGAAAATGAAGTTCTGACTCTTAATTCAGTTGTCTGTCACCCCAGATCCTTGAGAGGAGGGATTGTTTCATTATTTGTACGTGTGTCCCCAGTGTTTGGCTTATGGTAGAGGCACATAATAAATACTTGATCTGATTTCCATGATGCTAAATGGCTGCTAAGAATGCTACTTTTGGGTATTGCCTCAGATAGGTAAAAGGGATGTTCCAATCTGGGTACTACCTTAAAGGGAACAAAAATGTGTTAGTCCAAGGGTTTCCAAACTGAGAGCTGTGGATTTCTCCAAGTACTTATTGCTAGGGATCTGCAAATCCATGTTCAGTCCATGGGTCCTTATTCTGATCTTTAGCTTGAGGAAGATATGAGCCATGTCACAGTATACTAGATAAGGAAATAGAAGTTTTGATCAAGCTTTGGCTCTCAGAACCTGAAGCTCTTGAGGGAGAGGTATCCCTGGAATTGGAGCCCTAGACTGGGAGTCAGGGTGACCTGCATTTAAATCCCACTTCAGAAACTTCCTACCTGTTAGACCTTGGGGAAATCACTTAATTTCTCTCAGCCTTGATTTCCACACTTGTAAAATGAGGGGGTCGGACCTTATGGTTTCTAACATAGCTTCTAACTCTAAATCTATTATAACTTTCTGTAGAATGAGTTAACAATATATCTTTCACTTAAACATTTATATTTTGTAATCTATGGAGATTTATCATATTTAATAGGATACAAATACATTTTAAAATATTACCTTTTGTTATCACATACTTTTCTTTTTTAATTAGTTTATTTTTAGTTTTCAACATTCACTTCCATAAGCTTTTGAGTTTTAAATTTTCTTCCCCTCCCTCCTTTCCTTCCTTCCCAAAGTGGCATGCACTCTGATATAGGCTCTACATGTACATTCCTATGAAATATATTTTCACATTAGTCATGTTGTAAAGAAGAATTAGAACCAATAGGAGGAACCACAAGAAAGAAGAAACAAAACAAAACAGAAGAAAAAAAGAGCAAATAATTTGATTCGATCTGCATTCAGACTCCATAGTTCTTTTATCACATACCTATTCAATCAAAAATAGTTATAGTGCAGAATTCTATTGGGGTGCATAACCTGATGCCATCACTGTACCTTGGATCTCTGGATAAAGGGCCATATACAGCAGTGCCCACCTCAGAGTGGTTGAAATTGTCTCTGTGCCAGCTATGAAGAGGTCCAGGGTGCAGAAGACTAAATTTTTTTCATTAAAACTTGAATGGATGTTATCCTTAAATTAAAAAGAAAAGACCAATTAATTAATAAAAACATATGACTCTCTATAGACATGAGCAACTGCATCCTCCATGGAGCCTTGGAAAGTTAGAGGTGGCAGATGCTGGACTTCCTTTTAACCCCCAGGAATATAATAACTCTTTCCAAGAATGAGAGCTCCTATTTCTTTTTAATATCATTTTTCCCAATTAGATGTAAACCATGTTTAACATTCTTTTTATATAAAATTTTGAGCTCCAATTTTTTTCCCTTCCTCCCATACCTCCTCCCTCACTGAGATGGTAAGGAGTTTTATATAGGTTATATATGTGCATTCTTCTAAAACATTTCCATAGTACTCACATTGTGAAAAGAGAAACAGAACAAAAGGAAGAAAATCATGAAATAAAAAAATAAAATGAAAATAGTATTCTTTGATCTGCATTAACATTTCATCAGTTATTTCACCGGTTATGAATAGTATTTTCCATCATGAGTCCTTTGCGCTTGTCTTGGATCAATGTCTGGCTAAGAAGAACCAAACCAATCATAGTTGATCATTGCATAGCATTGCTAGTACTGTGTACAACATACTCATGGTTCTGCTCATTTCACTTTGCATCAGTGTATGTCAGTCTTTCCAGGATTCTCTGAAATCCACCTGCTCATCATTTCTTATAACACAATAGTATTCCATTACATTTATATACACAACTTGTTTAGCCATTTTCCAACTGAGGGGCAACCCCTCAATTTCCAATTCTTTGCCACTACAAAAAAAAGCTGTTATAAATATTTTTGTACTTGTCCATCCTTTTCCCTTTTTTATGATCTCTTTGGAATATAGAACTGCTATTGGTATTGTTGGATCAAAGAGTATGCATAGATTAATTGCCTTTGGGCATAGTTTGAAATTGCTCTCCATAATGGCTGGATCAATTCACAACTTCACCAACAGTGTGTTAGTATCCCATTTTTCCTTCATACTCTACAATGTTCATCATTTTTCTTTTCTTTCATATTAGCCATTCTGATAGGTGCCATGTTGTACCTTAGAGTTGTTTTACATTGCTTTTCTTTAATCAACAGTAATTTAGAGCATTATTTTTCATATGACTATCCCCATTATAGATAATGCTTGTTGATGGTTTTGGATAAATACTACTAATCATTTTAAGGAAAGCTCCATTTATTCCTATGTTTTTAATATTGTTAACAGAAATAGGTGTTGGATTTTGTCAATAGCTTTTTCTGCACCAACTAAGACAATTATATGATTTCCATTGGCTTTGTTATTGATGTGGTCAATTATGCTGATAGTTTTCCTAACATTGAATAAGCCCTATGTTTCTGGTGTAAATACTACCTGATCATAGTGTATGAACTTTGTGATTTATTGCTGTAATAACCTTGCTGCTTTTTTATCTAATCAGTTTGCATCAATATTCATCAGGGAAATTGGCCTATAGTTTTCTTTCTCTTTTTTGGCTCCTCTTGGTTTAGGTATCAGCACTATATTTGTGTCATAAAAATAATTTTGCAGGATGCCTTTGCATATTTTCCTAAATAGTTAATATGTTATTGGAATTCATTGTTCTTTAATTCTTCTTTCATAGATTTCACTTATAAATTCATCTGGACCTGGGGATTGTTTTTCCCTTAGGGAGTATATTGATTGTTCAATTTCTATTTTTTTTTTTCTAAAGTGGGGTTAAGAATTTTGTTTAACCTTCTTTTAATCTAGGCCACTTATATTTTGGTAAATATTTATCCATTTCACTTAAATTGTCAGATTTATTGGCATACAACTGGCAAAATAACTAATACCTATTTCTTTAATCTCCTTATCATTGGTGGCAAATTCATTCTTTTCATTTATATGGTTAATTTTTTTTCTTTTTTCTTTTTTTAATCAAATAAACCAATGTTTTATCTATTTTTTCTTTTTCATAAAACCGTCTCTCAGTTTTATTTGTTAGTTTCTTACTTTTAACTTTTTTACTCTCTCCTTTGATTTTTAGAATTTCTAATTTAGTGTTATTTGGGGATTTTTAATTCAACCTTTGTCTAGCTTTTGGAGTTGCATACCCAATTTTTTAATCTTCTCTTCCTCTCTTTTATTGATGTAAGTAATTAGAGATATAAATTTCCCCTAAGTACTGCTTTGATTGCATCCCATAAATTTGTTGTCTCATTATCATAATTTTCTTTGTTGAAATTAATGATTATTTCTGTGATTTGTTAGATTGTTAGGATTAGATTATTTAGCTTCCAATTAATTTTTAATCTATCTTTCCATAACCCCTTTTTAATTGTAATTTTTATTGCATCATGATCTGAAAAGGATGCATTTAATATTTCTGCCTTTCTGCACTAGATTCTGAGGTTTTTATGCTCTAATACATGGTCAGTTTTTGTGAAAGTGCCATGTGCTGCTGAGAAAAAACATATATTGTTTTCTATTCCCATTTAGTTTTCTCCAGAGATCTATCATATCTAACTTTTCTAAAATTCTCTTCACCTCCATAAATTCTTTCTTGTTTAGATATAGTTAGTCCTGTGAGGGGAAAGCAGAGGTCCTCCACTACTGCAATTTTATTGTCTATTTTATCCTGTAACTCATTTAACTTTCTTGGTAAAAAAATGAATGCTATGCCATTTGGAACATACATTTTTAGTTTTGATATTACTTCATTTTCTATGGTACCTTTTGGCAAGATGCAGTTTCCTTCCTTGTCTCTTATCTCTTTTTGCTTTTGCTTTGTCTGAGCTCATGATTACTACCCCTGAATTTTTTTAATTCAGAGGAAAGCATAATATATTTGGCTTCAGCCTTTTGCATTCACTTAGTGTGTGTTTTGTTGTTTCAGATAGGTTTCTCTTAAATAACATATTATAGGATTTTGGTTTTTAATCCATTTTTCTATCTGCTTCTCTTTTGTCGGAGAGTTCATTCTATTCACATTCAATTATGATGACTGTGTATTTTCTTCCATCCTATTTTCCTCATTTGTTCTTTTCTCTTTCCTTTCATTCTATCCCTCCTCACCAGTGTTTTGCTTCTCCCCAACATCTTCCTTAATCTGACCCACTTCTATCAGCACCGCTTTTTCGTGTCTCTCTCCCGTTCTTCTTCCCTGTAGGGTAAGATAGATTTCTATACCCAACTTGGTGTGTGTCTTAGAGCCTCTCTTTCCATCCCATTCCACCCTCATCCCTTTTACAGTCCCTGCTTTATCTATTCACCAGACCCTCCTAATCTTAATCTATACACCTTTTAAAAGCCTCTCCCTCATCCTATTTTCCAGTTTTCTCACCTTTGTAGAATTTCAGAGGACTTCTAAACTTCTTCAGATGTATACATTGTTTCTTTTTCACCCAGATGAGAGTAAGGTTTCAATACTACAACCTTCCACCCCAACCTGCTTCCTCTATTAGTTTTTTCCCCCATTCATGCCCATTTTTATGAGATACTTTCTCCTTTTACCATTTTCCTACTCGATTTTGTTTTTTATAATCACTTGATCATACATAATTCAGCCCCAACATTTCTTTCAAACTACCTCAGTAAAGATAACAGTTTTAAGAATACTATTACTAATAGTAATAACTAACAATTACTAATATTAATAACATTTTCATGCGTCATAGGAAAACACTTTGATATTAACCAGGGCCTTATAATTATTCTTTACTGATTGCCTTATATTTCTTCTGGATCATTAAATATCAATTTTCCATTGAATTCTGGTCATTTTATTACAAAATACCTGAAAGTCTTTCAGTTCATCAAATGTCCAATTTTTCTTTTTCAGTCAGATTTATATTCAACTTTGCAATCCAGCTCCTTTGCTCATTGAAATATTATGTCCCGAGACCTATGGTTTTTCAGTGTAGAATTTGCTAGGTCTTGGGAAAGCCTGAATGTGTTTCTGTAGTATTTCAATTATTTTTTTTCCTTGTTGCTTGCAATATTTTCTCTTTAACCTGGGAATTTTGAAACTTGACTATGACATTCCTATAAGTTTTCTTCTTGGGATCTCTTTCAGGTTGTGATCAGTGGATTCTTTCTATTTCTCTTTGATTGTCTTTGGGCATAGTTCCAAATTATTCTTCAGAATAGTTGGATCAGATCACATCTCCACCAACAGTGCATTAGTGTTCAAATTTCCTCCCATCCTCTACAACATTCTTCATTTGCCTTTTCTTTCAACTTAACCAATCTGATAGCTGTGAGGTGGTACTTTAGAATTGTTTTAATTTGCATTTCTCTAATCAATATTGATTTACAGCATTCTTTCATATGATTATAGATAGCTTTAATTTCTTCTTCTGAAAACTGTATGTTCATATCCTTTGACCATTTATCAATTGGTGAAGGAGTTGTATTGATGTCTAATCTTTAAGGAATTATTTTCTTCAGTTAGTTTTTGTATCTCTTATTCCACTTGGTCGATTCTACTTTTTAAGGAGATGTTTTCTTCAGTAAATTATCGTGCTTCCTTTTGCATGCTGTTGACTTTTTCATGATTCTCTTGCATAGTTCTCATTTCTTTTCCCAATTTTTCTTCTACCTCTCTTATTTTATTTTTTAAAGTACTTTTTTAGTCTTTCCAGGAGGACTTTTTGGGCTTTAGACCAATTCATATTTCCCTTTGAGGCTTTGCATGTCAGCATTTTGACATCGTTGTCCTCTTCTGAGTTTGTGTTTTGATCTTCCCTGTCTAACATGGTAGCTTTTTATGGTCAAAGCTTGTTGTTTGGTTGGTCTTTTTGCTCATCTTCAGCCCATTTTCTAATAATTTTAAGGTGAACTCTACTCCTGGGGCTCAGGGACTACTGTCCAAAGCTTCTGCCCCAACCTTCTTGTGCTGAGAGCCAGATGCCTGGTCACTGGCTTGCTGTGTAGGCTTGCCTGTGGCACAGGGGGTCTGAGGCTGTCTGCTCCCCTGCTGGACTGGAATCACCTGGCCAATTAGTGTCTCTTACACCAGAATTCAGGGGCTGGAAGCTCACGTGTTGTATCCTGGCTGTGGGCCTCACAGGTTGTCTGTTGTGCCACTACCCTGCTGAGCTGGGTTGCTGATCTGAGCTAGGGCTAGGGCTTCCCACTGGCTTGTGCTTTACACTGCCTGCACTGTACTGTGCTCCCATTTTACTTGAGTGAGACAGGCCTGTCCTGCAGTCTTTCTAAGTTATTTTGGCCTGGAAAGTTGTTTGAACCTTTCCCTTTGTGGATTCTGTCACTCCAGAATCCATTTTGTTGGTAGATATAGCAACAAATATATATCTTATATGTGTGTGTGTGCATGTGTGTGTGCGTGTGTGTGTAACAAATATCTATGTTATATATAAAGATATGTTATATCCATGGACAGTGGGGAGAGCTCAGGCAACTTCCTGCCTTTTCTCCACTGTCTTGGTTCCACCTGTGAGAGCTCCTATTTCTGATGGGTTGGGAGGCTTACTGTGAGTACTTTTCTCACCAAACCCATGCAAGTAGTTAGGATCTGTGTTTTGTAGGTGAGAAAACTGAAGCTCAGAGACCAGGAGTGAATGGTCCAGAAACACAGGACTAATAAACGACAGAACTGGCTCATGAATCCGGGCCCCTGACCAAAATCTAACACTTTGCTGCATCATGCCACTGCTCTGCCCCCTGTGCATGCACACCCGCATCCAACCCTCTCAGTACCACATGCAAAAAAAGAATGGTCATGGGGGTCAGCTTTTTAGAAGGTAATTATGAGTCCAACAGATTTTTCTATCATCTCACCAGGATATGTGCTGGGTGTGCTAGACCCATAGAAGTTTGAATTGAATTTGCTTCTGTATTTGTTTGCATTGACTTCTTTGTCCTCCTTCTCATCTTTGTTCTCTTTTTCTTCTCATTTTCTCTCTCCTCTTGCCTCACTTTCTCTCTTTCATTCTCTTTCTCCTTCTTCCCCATTCCTCCACCTCCTTTCCCTTCACTTTCTCTTTCTTCTCCTTATTATCATTCTCATTTCTATTTTCTCTCTACCAAGAAACACATATATGTTATTAGCTGCTGATATTTCTTCTGGCATAAATAAAGCTGGTTGCAAAATAGAGAATAATAATAGTTAACATTTTTATATAGCACCTACTATGTGCCAAACAATGTGATAACTGTTGTTCTCAATTGAGAACTGTTGTTCTCAAAATTGCTTTACAAAATGCTTTACAATTTGTAAGCTACTTTTCCCATAATCCTGTGAGTCAGGTAGAGCCAATAATATTGTACCCATTTTTCAAATGAAAATACTGAGACTTAGAGAAATGATTTGTTCACAGGTAAACTTGGCTGATGAATTCAGGACCTGGAATTTAAATAGAAGTCCAGCATTCTTGAACTATACAGGATGTAATCACAAAATCTTGAAGTTGGAAAGGAACTCCAATTGAGTCAAATTCAAATAGAAATGAGATCTCTAAACCATATGTAAAAATCCCCGGGGCTACATACTTACTTACTTATCTGTGTTTTAATGTATTTTTATTTATTTTGTTAAATATTTCTAAATTACATTCTTTAATCTGATTCTACAGTACTCAGGAGTGACATGGGCTGCAATGCTGCCCACATGTTTGACTGTTGCACAAATTCCCAAAGTTGGTTATATTTTGATTGTACATATAAGACTGATAATTTAAATTATTTTTATAGTGTTGTGAGATTTACAAAGAATATACTCACATAATTCGGTTGGATGGGGTAGATAGAATATCTTAATGTTATAGATGGGATAAGTGTAGAGAGATTATTTCAAAGGGATGAAATATTAGGGCCAAGACTTAATCCCAATCCGAATAGATTCTAATGAAAAGGACACTGGACTTGGAGACAGAAAGAGCTGGGTTTAAATTCGGATTCCTAATAGCTGTGAGACTGCAGCAAGTCAATTAACCTCTCTATGCCTTATTTTCCCATCATATGAAATCAGGGGTTTAAATTCAATGAGTCCTATTATCCCTTCCACTTCTAAATCAAAATTGTGAGCTCTCCATTAGCAAACTCCATCACTTATACTCTTTACCTCCCAAGGTTGTCACTGAATAAACATTATGAGACAGACGGAAAGTGTGAAACACATGACACACTTATCCCCCCAATTCTGCACTTCATTTTTTTTTGTTTTAAACACACACAATGCCCACTTTCTGTGTTGTCTTCATTACCTTGGACAGCTCCTTCAGGTAAGCACCAATGAAGTCCAGGGTGTCCTCTGGGTTTGGGTCTTCCTTATGTTGTTTGACCACGTTTTCTACAAAAATTTCTAGCTTTTTCCATTCTCTAAAGAGCTTCTGGTGAGCTCCTGGCAGGAATTTCATTATCCAGGGAAACATACTGAGGAGCTAAATAACATAAAAAGGGATGGGGAGGGGGAATGAGTGTCAGTTCCTGTTAGGCTACCCTGTCTCTTCATCTTCCTCACCCTAAGTCAGGCCAGGGTTCTTGACCTTATTTTGCATCATGGAATTTATCTTAATTCTGTGTCTAACCACTTCTGAAATTGACCCTCCTGTAACCACAGTTTTGTTTTCTCCCATATTGTTGCTCTCCCAACTCTCAAGCTAACATCCAATCATCTCTTGTCTCATATACCAGCCCCTTGCCGATATCCTGATGCACCTAAATAATTCTTTCAAGATGTCACCTATCTAGGCAGCCTCATGACCTTCAAAGAAGGAGAGGAGAGATCATTTCTAGAGAAATTGCTAGTTCTTGGGCCCATATTTCCTTGTTAGGCAGAATTTCCTTCTCCTGAATTTCCATTTTGCTCCTCTTAATGAAATGAGACCTAATGTTATTCACTCTTTTCCCTCATTTTCTTCCATAAACAGACTCCTGAGCTGGTAAGTGACATTGTAAGCCAGTGACTCTTTTGCTGAGGTTCATTCACTGATCAGCTAGGAGGAAGAGTAGATGGAGTGGTGGAATAAGATTCAGGAAGACCTGAATTAGAATTTTGCCTCAGATGCATATTAGCTGTGAGGCAAGTCACTAACCTTGCATCAGTTAATGAGCAGCCTCATTAACTGCCTCAGTTTCCTAATCCATAAAAATGGGGATAATAATGACTCAAAGGGTCATTGTGAGGAATCCAAAAAAATCAATCAACAAGCATCTGTCTATCTATGCATCTTGCATTTGTCTTTGTCTCTGAACCTCCCTCTCTCCCTTCTGTCTTCACTTTCTCTTCCACATCTCTTTCTTTCTCTCCCTCCCACCTCTCCTGTAGAGTTGAGGATTAAATTATTGATTTCCCTCAAACTCTGCTCAAGATACAGTTCCTCCATGAAGCTTTTCCTGGTTTTCCTGGTTTCTAATGCTGCCTCTACCAATTTTTCCGTATTGTAATTATTTATTTGCATATGCACTCATTTGAGGGCCTGCTGTCTTCTCCCACAGAACGTACACCACCTGAAGTCAGGGGCTATTTCATTTTTATCTTTGTATTCACATCTCCTAGCAGAGTACAAGACACACAGTCGGTACTTAATAAATGTTTGTAAATTAATGATCTTGATAAATACCTTAGAAAAAAATAAAATTTTATAGAATTTTCTCATTATTTGGGATCACTCTGTTCTGGAGAAGCATTGGATCCTCCAGGCATGTTCTATCATATTACTTTTAATTAAAAAAAAATGAAAACAAAAGAAAAACCTTATTTCTATCCTCTCCCCTTTTCAATCTCTTTTACACAAGCTGACTCAGTTCCTGCCAACCTCTCGCAGTCATGCTTGTTTCTTTTTTCATGGAGGAAACACATGGCCCAATTGAGGCCTAGCCAGCTCTGCCCAGGAGGGGATGGTCTATTACCTGACATTCCCAACTGCCTAAGAGGACGCTGACATCATCCAAACTCTTCAGCAGCTCCTGGAACTGAGAATCATGGTACTCATAGCGATGTCCAAAAGTTATGGAGCAGATGATATTGGAAACAGCATTGTTGATCTGAAAGTGGGGGTCAAAGGGCTGTCCTATTGACCAGAAGAGAAAGGGAATAGGCTACTATTCATTTGACTTATGTTATTTTACAGGAACCCAACACAGCTTTCTACCTTTTTTCTCTCAAATAATTTTTTCTTCACCTTCCCCCCCCATCCACCAGCACACATCTGCTTTATTATTATTGTCCATAATCAGCTAGTGCTTAAAAAGACATGAGAAGAAAAAAAAAACATGACCACTTTTTAATGTTTTAGTCAAGACTTGAGATTTAACTGTCATATTTTTTTTTCAGTATAGGTTACCTATGTGGCTTTGGACAAGTTACTTCATCTTTCTTTTCCTCCATTTGTTCATCAGTAAAATGAGAAGGTTGGACCAAATGTCCTCTGGGAGCCCTTCTAGCCTCTGTTTATTATTTCATATCTAATATATCATGGGCAAAGGTGTACCTATCTGTGTAATAGGCATGCGCACATATGTGCATGTGTGTCCATAGATGTATGTGTGCATATACCCATACCCATGACTATATAATCCTATGGGCTACTTCCATGCATGTGAGTAGTAGAGGTGAAAATACAACTGGTGATACTGGAATGAAAAGAAAAGGTATGAGAAGGTGAATAAGGAAGGGACACAGTATAAAGTAGCTCATAAGGTATTGAACCTTCAGACAGGAAGAACTGGCCTAGCTCAGACATTTACTAGCTGGGTGACCTTAGTTCTCCTGCCTTCCCACTGTTGATTATTTCCAGTTTCTCATGTTTATATTGTGTTTGTACACAGATGTTTGTATGTGGTCTCCCCTGTCCTCCCTTTTACTAGGAGCTGCTTGAGGATAGGGACTCTCTTTTTCCTTTCTTTGTATCCTTAGGATTTAGCACAGTGCCTGGAATATAGTAGGCACTTGATAAATACTTATTGACTGACTGACCTTGCGAAAATCACTTAACTGTTCCGCTTCTCAGTTTAGTCATCTACAGAATGGGAGGGAGGGTTAGATTGATGGTCTCCAAGATTCATTCTTACCCTAAATTTATAATGAAAAGAAGAAGCAGCAGAAGAGGAAGAGAAAGGGAATGTAGATGAGGATCACAGGAGGAAGAGAGGGAAAAAGAAGGATAGAAAGTGGAGGAAGGATCAAAGAATGAATAGCTCCAAAAACAACATTGTAGAAAGATAACTTGGACAGACTTCAGGACTTGTTTCAATGTAATACCAACCATAATTGCAGAGGACCGGTGATGACACCTGCTACCCACCTCCTGACAGACCGGTGATAGACTTAGGCTACACAATGAGATATATGTATCTGGGCATGGCCAATGGAAGAATTTATTTTGCTTGACTGTGTATATTTGTTAGTAGGGCTTTTTTTCCAGTGGGAGGACAAAGAAGAAAAAAGAAATCATTAATTGAAACAAATTAAAATTAAAAACAAATTAAGTCAGCAATATGTATACATATATGTGTATATATGTATATTGTGTGTATGTATATGTATATGTGTGTGTGTATTTTCCCCCTTAAGAAGTAGAAAGAGGAAAACAAGGCAGAAAATTACACAGGAATGAGAAGGGAGGTACTGAGAAAAGGAAATAGATGATTTAGTAAGTAGAAAAGAAGAATGATTAAGAAGAAAAATGAGTTAAAGAAGGGAAGCAGGAGAAAATAGTGGCAGTATGTGTGTTTATGTGTGTGTGTGTGTGTGTGTGTGTGTGTGTGTGTGTGTGTTCAGAGTTTCTAGAGTGGCCAGTCAAGGCAGGACTCTATGTGTGATATTTGAAGAACTGAGGCATTTAGGGTCTATGTGTTGATGGCAGAAAATTTTTATTATGGCATTCAAGATAATGAACCATCATGGTTTCCTTTCTTTGTTTACTGCCTCACTTCTTCCTGGAGAGCAATGGTGAGTCTTTGAAAAAATTCCTTGGAGGGGATTCTGGGAAGATGGCAAAGTAGGTCAGAAAACTTTCAGCTCTCCAAATTCCCTCCACAAAAAAAGACAGAAAATTGCCTCTGAGCAGCAGAAATAAACACAGTGTAAAGCAATTGTCCGCCTAAGGCAATTTAAGGAGAAGAAGACCCAACCTCCAGGAGCAGAGGTGGGGCCTGAGTGAAGTGCAAACAACTCCAGGATGACTGTGCTGAATCAACGAAAAACAATCCCTGGGGGCAGCTGGGTTGAGGGGCAGCCTCAGCCTTAGAAACTTTCTTTTTGCAGACAGTTGTGTGTGTGTTGGGGAGATGTGGGGGGGTATGATGGCTGAGTAGAAGATAGAAGCACTTTCCACTTTTGAGGGACTCCAGGCACAACTGTGTTGACTAGATGCATCCTGGGCTATGGCTGTAGAAAGAAGAAGCCAGCATGCACTTGGTGAGTACAGTAGCAAAAGGCAGAGACCCTATTGGCTGTGGGCACTTGCAAGAAAGCAGAGTTCATGGTTTCAGTTTTGGGGTAGAGAGGACAGCTGTAGTTTGCAGACATGAGGTAACCACAAGAAGCAAGATCATTTGTGGGACAGTGTGGCTGTGAACTTTAGCCCTGGTTTAGGAGGGGAGGGGAGAGGCCAAGGCAGGGCCCCAAAATAGATCTCAGAAAATAATAGTAAGTAAGACCTGAGATTGTGGGCATCATTCCCCATACCTTGGGACTACAACCTGATTCTATCAATAACTGTTAAAAACAAAATAAAATAATAAACAAACAGACAGACAAATAAATAAATAAATGAGTGAGCAAAGGAGAAAGAACCCAACCATAGGTAGTAACTGTGAGCATAGAGCAGATCTGGGTTTATATGTACAGGAAGATAATGGAGCTAAAAAAAAGACAATCCCTTTTTAATAAGAAAGGTACAATGGTCCCCAGCAAAAAAAAAAAAAAAGAGTTCTTAGAAAAACTCAAAAAGAATTTTAAAAATCAAATAAGAGAGGCTGATAAAAAAATTAGACCAATACAACAAAATCAAGAAAATTATGAAAAGTCAACCAACTTAAAATAGAGAATCAAAAACTTAAGGAAGAAAATAATTCCTTGAAAACTAAAATTTGGTGAGTAGAATGAAAAAAATAGTAAAGAAAATGAAATATCTCATCAAAAAAGCAATTGATCTGGAGAACAGATCAAGAAGAAATAATACAAGAATAGTTGAACTACATGAAAAATATGATTAAAAAGAGACTCTTGATACAATATTACAAGAAATTGTCAAGGAAAATTGCCCTGAAACTCTAGAACAAGGCAACTTAGAAATAGAAAAAAAAAATCCACACATCACCACCTGAAAGAGATCACAGGAGGGAAACTTACAGGAATATCATTGACAAGTTTCAGTGCTCCCAGGTTAAGGAAGAAATATTGGAGGTAACAAGAAAAAAGAAACTGCAAATATCATGGAGCTACAGTAAGCATTACACACAACCTAACAGCTACTTCTTTGAAGGACCATAGGTCTTGGAATACTATATTCCAAAGAGCAAAAGACCTGGGGTTCTGACCAAGGATAACTTGCCCAGCAATATTAAGTATAACCCTGGATGAAAAAAAAGGGACATTTAAGAACTGAATGACTTTCAGTTTTTTGTTACAAAAACCCTAGAACTTAAGGGAAAATTTGATATATAACATCCAGGAGAAATATAAGGTAAACATTAAAGACCAAATACAAGGGATTCAATAAGGTCAAATTGCTTGCTTCTTATGTACGAAAATATTATCAGTTATTTTGTGATTGTCATTTATATTTGCATAGTTTGAAGAAAGGCTTGGGCTAAGTTGAGTATGAAGAGGTGATTCTAAAAAAATAAAATTGTGTAGGGAGAGATAAAAAGGAGTAATTGAGACCTAAAATGAGGCATAAAAGGAAAAATTAACACAGAAGAACCTAGTAATGGGAGGGAGAATGGTGCTGGAACCTTACTGTCATTGGGAATGGGTTAAAGATATACATACTTACATACATACATACATGTATGTGCATGCATGTACGCATAAGTGTATATATGTATGTATATTCATGTGTATATATATATATGTGCCCATGAGTGTGTGTATGCACATATGTATATGTGTGTGTGTGTATATGTGTATGTAAAAAGATATAAAAGTCTTCTAAATTCAGAAAGAAATAAGAGGGTAAGGAGATAGGGTGGGGGAGAAGATAAGGGAGAAACTTTTAGAAAGGTAGGTGGGTTAAGGAATAGGAGGGCAAGGTAGTGGGTAGAAGTAAAGCAGAGGAGTGAGGAGAGATTGGGTAAATAGGATGAGAAGGATAGTGAGGAAAAAAGGATGGAAGAAAATATACAAGTAATTGCAGCTTAGAATGTTAATGGGATGAATTTACCCATAAAAAAGAGATGGATAACAATTTTAAAAATTGAATTCAACAATATGTTGCTTTCAGGAAACATTATAAAAATCAGAGATATACACAAAGATAAGATAAAGGTCAGGAGAAGAATTTATTATTTAAAAACAGCAGGGATATTAATCATGGTCTCAGACAAAGTTAAAGTATACTTAATCCAAAGTGAAAAATAGAGAAACTACACTATGTGTCATCAGTATTCTTCAATATAGTTTTAGACCATTTAAAATGCCTAGAGAGTATAAAATATCAGAGCTGATGCCTGCCAAAACAGACACAGGAAAAATATGAACATAAATATAAAACGCTTTTTATACAAATAAATTCAGATTTAGATAATTGAAGTAATATCTATTGTTCATGGGTAGGTAACGCTAATATAATTTTTGTTTTTGTTTTTGTTTTGTTTTATTTTGTTTTTAGGCAATTGGGGTTAAGTGACTTGCCCAGGGTTACGCAGTTAGTAAGTGTCAAGTGTTTGGTCTGAGGCCAGATTTGAACTCAGGTCCTCCTGACTTCAGGGCCAGTGCTCGATCCACTGTGCCACTTAGCTGCCCCTATAATTTTTAAAATGACAATTTTACCTAATTTATTTATTCAATATCATCCCGATTAAATTGCTAAAAATATTTTAGTGTTTAAAAATATATATAAAAAAA